GTCTGGCGGCTGATAGGCCACCTCGGGGAACGCCCCCACTTCACAGGTGCCTACAATTGTCTGCTTAGTCCACAGTGGATTAGAAGAATATTGTGCAACAACACTAAAATACATAATGTAAATATGAGGATAAAACCATGCAATATAAATATCAATAAACAAACATGCAATATAAATATCACAATAAAATCATGCAAATAAAATCAACTCTATGTACCAATACACAGATTGATAAAACATAAAAACACAAATTTCCACTGTGTGACACTAACATGAAGCTAACCAAGCACGCTGACCCCAGCCTAGCAGCCAGTGCCTGATCTTCGACAGGCAACAAAGGCAATGGTGAGCATTCACACGTGCAACATTGCTGCCTGCATTTATACCTGTAAATGTTTGTACAGCACAATGACTTGCTTTGAAGTTTATATGGGCTGGTTTTTAACTATGAATTTTGTTGCTATTCTTATGTTCATATGTAAAAACTAGTGCTGTCAGCGTTAATCTCATTAAAATGACGTTAACGCCATAACCGCATTAACGCGACAAATCTCCGTTAGCGAGTTAGCTTGGATCGCCCCATGCGTGTGGCTGCACGGCGCTAACTTGTTAACGAACTAACTGTTGACGCTAACGCGTTGACGGCGTGCAGCCCCACGCACGGGGCGTTAGCATCATTTTAACGAGATTAACGCTGACAACACTAGTAAAAACTAAAAGAAATATCATATACTAATGTCCTCATTAGGACAGGGATTTCCACTGGGTTGTGGAACTGTGGGTTTATATCGTTAGCTGGTAATTATGTCACAGCTCTTTTCAGGTCATGTTAAAGAGTAATGAAAAGTAATGTAACAAGTAGTTACTTTCTTTCAATTAAGTCCTTACTTTTAAGAAAAGTAATGTGTAATACATTATTTGAGTAATGACCCCAACAGCGAAGGGGCCTGACTGTCTTCTGGAGTCACTCCCAAGTGCTCACTAAAGAAAATGCAGTTTTTTGGACGTCCTCATTTTTGGCGGCGTGTGTTACTTTGTGAGGTTGCGGCTTGTTTTAAACAGTATATGCTTAATAAATCTGATGCCAAATATAATATGACACCATAAAAATAGAACAGCTCAAAAATAATGGAAGTAATAAAAGATACACACACATACTGTGAATGACAGTGATGCACGGTCTGTGGCTGTCATCCAAGTTAACATTGATCAGAACTGTCAGCACACCACCAAATCAATCATGCTCATTGATCTGACACAACATTGGATTGGGGAGCGTTTGTTGTTGTAGGCTAAGAACATGATATTACTGTACTGGGTAAAATTCGAGGAAAATCAATTTTGATTTTCATGGTGCTTGGGGGAAAAAAAAAGTTGGATCCTCACTTTCTCAGGAAAACAACACAAGATTAAAGCTAAGGCTAAATGGAGCTTGAAGGTAATTTAAGGTCATTAACAAATGTGCTTAATTTCTTTTCTTGAGAAGTCTTAAGAAACAGAAGAATTGTGTCAGACTGAATGTTTTAAAGTCACTTTCTTCTGACAAGCAGCAGATCTATCAAAAAGAAAGGAGGGAGTTACATATCCCATTATACCAAAAGAGATATTAGTAAAGTACATAGAGAAAAGTTTAGCCATAGAATATAAATTCTGGTCATCCTGTCTTCGATCTCGGGGCAGAGATCAGAGCATAGAGGGAACTAAAGGAGTGGGAGAGACACGGCCCCTAGACCTGTGTGTATCTCTGTCTCACTTCTTGTCTCCATTTTTCCACAGTCTGCCCTGGCAGAGCGGAAGATGTTTGACACAGACATTGTGATAAAAGGGTGATGAATAAAGAGAAATGAATGTTACAGTTGGGTGGGATAAGAGCGAGGAGGAGAGAGTGTATGTGTGAGGGAAGGGAACTGTTGCCATGCTGGTGGAATGAAGCATGCTCTTATCTGTCTGGAGAGGAGACAAAACAGAGTGTGTATGATACAAGGGCCAACACATAAAAACCCGATGACGGGAAAAGAGAAGGAGTTAAGCAAAGAGGAACCCCACCACCAAAAAAATCAAAACACCAGACCTCCTCCAAAAGACAATTGAAACATGAAACGCCTGCCTTCATGGTTTAAGAACAATGTCCTGCATTCTTTCTCTTAACCACAAAACTTGCAAGGAACTTACCCTTCTGCAGCCACACACACACACACATGCGCTAAAGGATTTGCACACACCTCTTTTTGAGCAAATGAAGCCAGGCGCCCTCGCACACACACGTTCATGCACAAAGGTGCGCTGCCTTTTTCCTGTAGAAAAAAAAAAGAAAAAAAAGGAGGGGTGGGAGAAAAAAAGGGCAAATTACACATGAAAGGATGTGGGGAGAGGTGGTGGGCGGTGTGCTGGCGGTGGGGGGAAGCGCAGGGCGGCTGTTTTGAGTGAGTGTCTTTTTATCAGGTGAAGGAGAAGCAGGGAGGGGGGGGGGC